CAGGTTCTTTGAAAAGTTTTTAGCGATTATGACGCAAAATATATAACTTTTTTGTTAACTCCATTTAACTTTGATTCTCCGACTCTGGGAGTTGCATGCCCATTTTAATGAGACTATTGCGCAAAATGAGGCTTATTACTTTTTAAAATGTCCCTCCGTTGCGATGAAAAGATCCTTTCTCTGCGCATTTTCTGCACCAAACCTCTTCTTTATATATATAAATATATATAATTGTAAAAAAAGTCATCTCTACTGCGATTGAGATCTTGGCAGCTTCTGGTATTCCAATTTGTGTTGCAAAAGAACTTTTGAGATAGTCGCCAGAATAGGCAACTCTTTTATGCAAGATTTTCGCCCTTCGGTGGAATGTGAGGTGTCAAACCACGGAATTGGCCTAATAGTTTTTTTTTAAATAATTATTATTTTTTAATTAATAATTTTCTATAATTTTGTATGTTAGTTGGGATAGGATTCGAACTCAGGATTTTTAACATAGTGGTATGCACTAAACAAATATTATGTTTATATTCATTACTTTCCATGTGAAGATTTGAATTTCGAGTCAACAAATATAAAAAAATTCATTCAAAAATGTACGTGTACCTATATTGGTGGCGTTATGTGTAAAAGTATTATATATTGACTTTGCAAATAAGTAAATACAAATGCATATATATATTTGTGGTTTATGAGCTTTGCTTATATTTTTCGTAACGGAAGCTTTTGTCTCATGAATGCCTTAATTTGTTAGCAGCTGTGGTGAAAAGCTTCTTCTGTTTATATCAATGAATGCAAAACTTGGCTTTCGTGAATATGTAAATAAACTTAAAACACACACATAATTACAATTTGCAAGAGATCTTGTTTGCTTTCAAGCACCTGTAGTGTTTATCTAAAAGGAAAAAAAATCAATTAATAGAAAAAACGCACATCGTTAGGTGTGGGCGTCTGAATGAAGTTGTGTTTGAGAAGGTTTATCCGATTCTACAATAACTACAACATGCGCTTTAATTCGGATAGAGCTTGGTACAAGATGTAAGAGCGTTATTAATATCAGAGGTGAGGTCATTGTTATAGTTCAACCAGCCATCTGGCGTATCCCTCTTCCACTCCTTCGTTTGATAGGAGAGAAAAGTCAGCACCGTTGTGTCCGTTGTCAGCCGTCAGGGTGCATACTTTTATACAAATATAAAACTTTATTAATCGAATTTCAAGTTTTTTGTTAGAATCTAACGCTAATGAAATACTGATTAATAAATTAATTTAATTTAAAAATAATTAATAATAATTATTATGATTCTAGTTTTCTTTTCTTTAGAAAAATATTAAGTATAATGGCAACCATGTACCATGGTTTTACGGAAAAAATGAAATAATTACACAAATTACGACTTAATTTTACGCGCAGCGTTGAGAGAGTTATTTTCGGAAAAAGGATCAATTTATCCGAAAAAAAGTGTCATTTTTTTTTTAGACGCAGGGGTTCTACAGTTTTGCCGCACAAGAGCCGCCTTAAACCAATGCCATCCCATCCACAACTGAATTTCTTTGCAAGGTAAGAATCTTTAAAGCGTCACTATATTCCATTTTTTCATATTTCACGTTTCCCTTCCGATTACTGCGCTTGGTTGACGAAATCTCGTATTTATACTATAATTAAATGTATGTAGACTGTATCCTTTCCTTTCTTGGTCAGATCCCCCTTTGGAGAGACACTTTTTTTAATTTCACACGCCTCATTGGAGCTGCAATGCAAGAAGCAGGAAACAGTTGATTTTTTCCTCCGCAAACTCGGTGTCTTTCGAATATCGGCCACTAGAAGAAAGCTTCAATTTTAATATGAGCACGTGTTGAATTAGGACTCAATACACACCACAGTTTTCTCTTTTCTTAGAAGCCATAAGTGTAAGACGAGTGTTTCTGTCTGTTACAATTGCAGCTTTTCGGGAGTTCTTCGTTGAACAGAGTGGTTTGAGAAACTTGACAGCTCAAGGAGTAAAGCCACTCTAAGATTTTGGAAAACGCAATTTCTTTTCGCTCGACGGATACCTTTGGGTCCTCGAAATGATATGCAATTGGTTTTAAAGTGAAAAAAATATGTAAAATAGCTGAACTTTTCCATTCTAATAAAACTTTATTTTTTGAGAGAAAAAACGATGAAGGAAACAAAATAAAAGTTTGATAAATATTATGGGGCTAATGCTGCCTCAGATTACATAGTCAAGTATTGATTTCAACGACGCAACGCAACGACAGGCCCTCCGATGCGGTCACAGAGGACAATGCCAGAAAAATACTTGAAATGGTATTGACTGACCGGATAGTGAAGGTGCGCAAGCTAACAGATGCTACAAAGCACAAACGTCATATTTTGGGAAAGATTCTGCATATGAAATAGTTATACTGCCGCTGGATGCCGTGCATGCTCACTCCGGACCAAAAACACGAACGGAAGAAAAGATCAAGTAGTTTGAAATTCGCTGGAATAAGTGCATATCTATAGATAGTTTAAAAATTCTGTTTCATCCCCAAGGAGGATGCTTTTCACCCCAAATAAATAAAAACTTAAGCTATATTTTCTAATTGCAGTCATTCTTGGCAGGGAATATCAATCCCGTCCGAGGTATACCACAAACCAGAGCAGATGTTCGGCCAAAAATTGCTTCAGAGGTTACGAAGCATCAATTATATATGTATATAAGGAGGAAGATTTGCTATTGCTTATTGAAAACAATATCAGCCAAATGGCCGTCACGGCTACGCTTACATGACCGTATCATTTTATGAATTTTTTCACCCCCAAATTGCAGGAATTCCATCTTTGAGATCTTGAATCGACGTTGGCCAGTTCGCCTAGACTAGATCTTTAACTTGGCGCCAAAGAAAGAAATCACAAGGTGTTGAATCATAAGATTTCGGTCAATTGCGCTCACCTCTTCGATAGATCGATGATTTCGCTCCTTGTAGAGCTTGAAAGTAGACATTGTCCAGATCAATATCAGCATATTTCGGCCATGAAAAATCATTAATCATCTCTCAATAGTGCAATCCAATTACCGTTAATGTTGCTCCAGCCTAATTTTTGAAAGAGTAAGGTCCAATGAAAGCGCCAGAACATAAACCGCATCAAACAGTTACGCATTGAGGATGGAGAGGGTTTTCAACAATAAATCTTTTTACCGGGTCTCAGAAGGGACATTTTTGATTATTCATGTTTCCATTGAGGTGGGAATGGGTCTCATCAGTCAAGATGATTTTTCGATGAAATTCTGGTTTATTTTCATGCATTTCAATCAGCAGAGACATGACTTTGTTTGTGATCCACCGACTTGAGTTCTTGAGTTAACTGAACTTTATAAGACTTAAGATCCAAGTCCTCGTGCAAACAACGGTGTAATGACGTTTGTGGATTGCCCAATTCCAGAAGATATCCAGATTTTTTTCCAACATTTTGGGCTACAGCAGCGATATTCTCAGTTGTTCCCGAACTTGACCAGTCTGATATATTTTTTACACCAATTTGTGTATTACGTTCCGACAAGGTACTTCACGACGACCGAAAAATGTTTGAGTTTTACGAAAAGAACTCTGTCGGGTTTTCACCATTTTTACAGTGAAAAGTGACATCTACTGTAATGGTGGACTATTCAAAAAAACACCTCTTTTTGGAAAACCTTTTTTTTTTGTATAGAACGTGAAGCATAGTTTTTTTTGCAAACTTTTTGAATTTCTCGAAATATGATTTCAGTTTTTGTATAATTTTTCAACTTTTTCTGAAATATTTTACTGGTTTTCCATAGTATATCTGAGGCCAAATTTTTTTTTAGATTTTGTAGTTTGAAAACTGTTTGATTTTAGAAATGTTTTACAATACATTTGTGACATATGAAATTAAAAATTGCTATTTTCATTGATTCGCTTTGAAAATGACATCAAATCAGTTGATTAATTGCCAAGAATTCGATACATAAATCATTAACTTGGGTAGAACCACGCTATCTGTATATGTATGTATGTATGTGTGTATGATATGTAGGAATGATTGTTTGTTCATCTTGAAGTATGCGTGTGTGTATATACGTATCTACATATGCATGTGTTTGGAAATATGCGCACAAGTCAAGTCAAACTAGTCCACCTGCGCATTACTTCATTGAGTTATTGCGATTTCCGAAGTTGAATATATTAACAACAATAACAACAATAATGGCAACAACAACAACGTTGCTTAGAATCGCATTAGTTAAATGTATGAGCCATTTATGCCATTTACAAACATTCCTACATACATATGTATGTACACATACATAGACAGCACGTATTGAGAATTTCTGTAACAAAACGAGTTCACCTTTGGCTAAGAAAGAGTTGTCTGTCTATGTAGATATATATGTACTTGAATGCAAACATACATATATACATTCATACAATACAATACTGCAATGCTACAAAGGCTGTTAGTTATAATAGATAAACAAGCTTTAACGCCAGTAATTCGTCGTTAATGCATAAATTCGTGGTGAATTCGGCGAAGAGACAAAAAAATTTGAAGAATGTTTGGGCGAGCAGGTTTTTTCATTATATATATACATATGTGTAAGATATGTACATATATATGTATAGATATTCAACACAGTGGGCAGAAATCATATGGACCTTTTCCCCAACCATTAGCACCAGTATTTGAGTAGCGAGTTCCACGTGAATCCTCTCATAACAAGACAAGTGTAAATTTTTAGCTCTCGCTACACGTAATTACATACATACACTTATTTATATACGAGTACAGTAGACATATTGACCACTTCATTAAGGTGCTTCAAAGCAGAATTCTTTCTCAAATCGAAGTGGTGAGAATCGACAAATGCAAAGGCCGGCTTTTGAATCTGTTTTTGCAAAGTTTACATTTGTGATGGTGGTGAATATGTAGCAGTTGGGCTAGCGAGAGGTTAAGCTAATTCAAATTGCTTGTATGGTGAGTTTTATTATGGTTTGCATTTCCTGGCGACAGTCTCATCTCAGACGTGATCGTGTATGCTCGCTCGATCTTGCCCGTTGCGGTTGCGTTGTGGTTTGCGTATAGTGGCCAAATTCCACTTTAAGTTTGTTTAAGTTGCATCAAAAAAAAAAATAATGCGAATAATTTATGTAAATGAAAAATACAATAACAACTAAAATATAAGTGACATAACGAACAAACGAACCAAAAAAATAAAAAATAACGTTTTTCAATTTAAACTCCAAACATAGTGTCGTGAAAATATAACGGTATATTATTATATTTTGTTTTTGTTTTTTTATTTTTATTTTTAAACGAGACAAGTGAGGAAAAATTGCGCAACTAGCGAGCAGCCAGTTGCAGTTATCGACGATGATCATATAAGTGTTTAAAAATTTAACTTATGCGCATAATTTAAAGTGAATGTGTTGTAACGAAAATTTCTAATAAATACATCTAAACTAAATAAATGAATAGACAAATAAATATAAATAAAGAAGTAAATAACAAAAAAAAAAAAAAAACATCAAAATCAACGTAAAAAAATCTGACAAATGATTTTGCAAAGTCACATTATTTGTGATAACAACAAAACACAATAAATAAAGGCGGCTAAAAAAAAAAAAAACAAACGAAAAACCATAGATAAAATTTTATATCTGAAAAAGATGCGATTTTTATTAAACACAACATTAACACGGTGTCAAATTAATATTCGATTAGGTAAAGAGTAAATAAATTCATAAAGTAATTTCGGTTCATGAAGAGAGTGCGCAACCTTAAATTAACTGATTGAAAACGATCATATGCAGGCATATACGTATATGTACGGTATGGTGTGAAATATAAAAAAATAAATAAATAAAGATTTATTGAGAAGTAAACAAAACTGACATCACGGTTTTTATAGCAACAATAACAAAAATATTATTTTAAACCTTAGATTATTTTCGAAAATAGTATTAAGGTGAGTAAAATTTATTACAGATATAAATAGTTCCAAATACATAAAATTTTTTAATTTTTTTTTAATTTTGCTCCTCCAAATATATTTAAAAAAAATGAGTATAAACTGCACAATAGGAACAAACATCCAATTGTTACTACTTGACAGTGCCAAGAGTTATGTGTTTTAGAAAATAATCATTTTAATTTAACACATGAAATTGATAATTTATACTCTTATATTTATTTGACTAATTGTAACTCTAATTATCCATATATTCAATAATTAGAAATTTATTACATATGTTCAACTTAAAGTTTATTCAATATTTAATAATTAGCGATATATCAGGTTATCATATTTTAGTAAAAGTAAATCAAAAAATTTTGATTGAGTAGAATGAATTATGTAATAATTAATTTTTTTTTTCATTTTATATTATATATTAATTCATTTAATTTTACTTCATATAATTTTATTTTATTTTATTATTTATTGGTTTTTATTATTTATTATTGGTTTTTTAAATTCAACAGAACAATTACCTGTAAAAGCAAGCAAACTTATTTTATTTAATTTTTTTACAATATTTTTTTTTTTATTTTTTTTTTTATTGTATTTTATCTTATTGTTTTAAGCAACTTTACTTTATAGTATTTTACTTTTTTATATAACTTTAAGATTTATTTATTTATTATTTATTTATTTTTATTATTTATTGCATTTTCTATTATTTTTTTATATTACTTTACTTTGTTTTAATTTTTTATTTCTTTAATTTCATTTATATTATTTTATTACATTTTATAATATTTATTTGTTTAAGTTTAATTTAATTTTATTATTTTAACTTTAATTAATTATTTTTTTCTAATTTAATTTTATTTTACACTAATTAATTTAATATAATATAGTTTTTTATATTAATTTAATTTCTAAATAATTTATTTTATTTTATTTCTTATTTAATTTTATTTTATTTCAATTTAATTAATTTTATTTGACTTATTTTCAGTTTAATTAATTTTATCTTATTTTATTTCAGTTTAATTAACTTAATTTAATTTAATTCAATTTTATTTGAGTTTAATTAATTTTATTTCATATATATTATAATTTTAATTTATTTCATTTTATTATATTTTAATATATATCATTTCAGTTCAATTAATTTTATAATAATGTATTTCAGTTTAATTAATTAATGTTAATTTAATTTTATTTTATTTCAGTTTAATTAATTTAATTTAATTTAATTTAACTTTATTCTATTTGATTTCAGTTTATTTATTTATTTTATATTTATATTTTATTTTATGTGTGTTTAATTTCATTTATTTTGTTTTTATTTAATTTTTTATTTAATTTTATTTATTTCATTTTAATTAATTTTATTTTATTTCGTGTCAGTTTAATTAATTTAACATTACTTTATTTCAGTTTAATTAATTTTATTTTATTGTAATTCAGTTTAATTAAATAAACTTGATTTAGATCATTTTATTTATTTTATTATTTAACTCTATTTTGATTCCTTTCATTTAATTATAATTAATTTTATATTATTGTATTTTAGTTTAATATAATTATATTAATTTTTTCAGTTTTATTAGTTTTATATTATGTATATATTTATATTTTATTTCAGTTTATTTTATTTAGTTTTAATTTTTTTGTTTTTTTTTTAAGTTCATTATATTTTATTTTATTTTAAGTTTAATTTCATTTTGTTTTATTTACTTTAATTTAATTTTATTTTATATAATATCATTTTTAGTTCTATTTTATTAGATATAATTTAATTTATTGACTTACTTTATTTTATTTCAATTTATTATATTTTCTTTTATTTTACTTTATTTATTTTGGTTGAATTTTATTTTATTATACATTTATTTTACTCTAATTATTATTTTAGTGTATTTGATTACATATTTTTATTTTCCTTAGTTTAGTTTATGTTATTATTATTTATTTTTTAATTATATTATTTTGTCAATCAACGATTAATATAATTGTATTTCACTTTTATATTATTTTACTTCATTTCATTACATTGTTGAGACAAGTTAAGTAGGTTTCATTCCAAATTCGTCACCACACGTTTTCGCCTACTTGGCATTAGAATATTTTTCAGGGCTGGCAGTTGCCAAAACAAGGTTCAAACAGAAAAGGTATGTAGGTATATGTACACAGTAATATAGCCCCATAGGTTTACTAGTTCATATAAATAAATGAGCTCCTCAATATTTATTCATGTCTCGTTTGGTTTTCGTTAGAAATCAATTGATATGTTAATTAGTAACAAATTAAAGCAACTTTATTTGTACATTTGTTTACAATGGAATAGAGTCACCATATTGTTTTGAGAAGTGAATGTAATAGTTACACATAAATAAATATTTAAATGCTTCCATATATGTAAATATGTATTTTTACATGTGTATAGCTATATGATTTCATGCAAATGTGCCAATATGAAGTTTTTATTGAGATTTAAAATAAATAAAAAAAATTCATAATTATTTTGAATAGTTTAAATGATGTTAAAAATTGGCAAGAAGTGCCACCTTTCGTTTATTCAAAGCAAATTTCTTTAGCACATATTTAACACAATTCAATAGAAAAGTTGAGTAAAAACACAAGAAGCAAAGAAATGTGCCTAATGAGGTTTGACTTTTATTTCTTTACACTTAACACTTTGCACCAATTTTTAGTTAAGCATGGTATTGTTAAGCATTGTTTCAAACAAAAGACTTAAGCGACGAACTTGTGCTGACCATCTGCTAAGTTATTCACGCCTATACACTCTAAAGCATATGTGTGTTGTTTGTTTTTCTTTTTGGATCAGAATTTAGAAAGCTAGAATGCCTAAATAGTCAAAGCTTCAAATTAAATATTTACTCGTTTAGCTATATACTTTTACGACTGTATGGTAGTGCTTTGTATTAACTCGTTTTTGCCAAATTTCGAATATTTGTTTATAATAATTTTTATTTTTTGTGTAGCAGCGCTTTAAGCTGCCAACCACTTGTTGAAATTTTCAACAACTTACTTCAGCGCCAACGATTAGTGGGGCCAAAGAATATTTAACTTTTTCTTTTGCATCTAAATCTTGTTATTGGTGATTTTGTTTTTGTTATTATTTTTACTTGACGTTTTAACAACTTACTCAATGCTGAAACTTCGTGCTAGTTGCCTTATTTAGATTTTCCACATTGTTTCCTCCATTTATTCTGTATGCGGCTGTAAACTTTAGTGGTAAATTGACTACCCAAAACAGGGAGAGACGGCTTAGGGCGGCTGTTAGCAGTCGATATACTGCTGTGTGGTAGGTCTACAAAAATATACGAAAAACGAAATAAAAAAATGCGCTGAACTGTTTAATTTGGTTTTCATACGTTTTTTTTTTTTTAATATAGATAATTAAATTGTAGCGGAATTAGTGGTATAAGAAATACTTGTTGTTGTTTCTATTTATAATTTATTAATTGAATTTCATGCTTAATCTTATGGGTGATTAAAGGAACCAGTTTGAACTTATATTTAATTAGTTATTGGTGTATTAAATCTTTGAAAAATTACTTGTTGTTTTTTCCAATTAGTATTACCTTAAATATGTTACTGATAATCAAAAAAAATAATAATTTGTTGTTTTGTATGTACTGCTAAGGAAAATGATATAGAGCACTTCCATCTTATTTAGATTATATTAAAATTTAACAAAGGTTATTTCTAGGGAGATATATATATATACATATATATAATTAGCACTTTTGTAACCCTTGAATCGATTTTTCGGTCGAGATCCTCCTCCAATTTGTGGTTTTGCGCCTGGACGTTTTTCCAACAAATGGAGGGACCTACAGTTTATACTAAGCCGCCTCCGAACGGCTGATGGTTTTTTGACGAGAAGCCTTTTTTTCATATCCGCCCCTGCCGAGGATCATTTTTTTGTAATTAAATTCATTTTTCATAATATTTCGATGTTCCCCCTCAAATGAAATAGACTTTTCACACCGTGAATATAATGCTTTTATACCACTGAAAAATATTCCTTAGATTTTTCTTCAGTTTCGTCTGAAATCTTCGTTCCCGTAACTGCTTTTTTGAATTTGAAAAAAGGAAAAAGTCACTGAGAGCCAGATTCGGACTGTAGTTTTTAAGGCATGCCTCCTAACGTGAATGGGTGCCTTGTCTGCGGAGAAACAGCACTCCGCGCCCTAATTTGCCACGTCTCTTCTGTACAAATGCCTCACGCGCCTGAGTCAACAAATTAACGTAATATGGCGCGCACAGTTTTTTTTTAATTTTCAATTGTTCGTGCAAAATCTCAGCAGCTCTTTCTTTGCTAATCTGTAATCCCTCTGCTATCTGCCACGCTTAAACTCTTTGATTAGCTATTGCTAATTCTGAACATTTTCTTCGATCATCTTCACAGGTATTTCCTCCTTATTGAAACAGACCAGCTCACTTCTTCACGATCATATATGAAGGGACAGAGCCCTGAAGAACCAATGAAATCTCTTTCAAAATCGGTTTCGGCGTACTTCTGTTTTTGTAAGGCATTTAATCACAGCGCGGCGCTCCAAAATGCGAGATTTTTCAGTTCCCGTTGGCATACTGTTCCTGCTTGTTCCAGGAAAGCTGTCGCGAAGAAGTCAGCCACCCATCGTATATATTAAAACTAGTGAAACGATTTTCTCTTAATTTTTAGTGAGCGTCTTAATGTTTTTCCAACAAAACAGACTCGTGACCAAATTTTAACGAGATTTTGAGACTTTTCTTTCCAACTTCAAACCTAATGCAATTTCAAAAACTCTAGATTGCATTTAGAACGTGACTTTGAGTTGCCCTCTATTTTAACCGGTAGTTCGACGCCAGTTTGCGAAAATGACAGCTCTTTCGTGTCTTCTTGCTTAAGATGAGCTTCGCACAATTTTCTATCGTAATTGCGGATGAAGATGTGAAAACAAACCACTTGCTTTTCCCAAAAATTATTTTATCTTCAAAATAAGTAA